AACAAAAAAACAAAAAACACTTGTAGTTCACCACCCAAACATAAACAATCACTTAAAATCTGGGGGCCAGTCTCATTATTACTCATGTATTATTATTTCATAGAGAAAGACTTCAAATGAGTTCCAATAATCTTCCAAAGATTTTTTTTTTCTGGAGAACAGATCACATTTATTTTTGTTATTTTATTTTATTTTGATTCCAGTATAGTTAACATACAGTGGTATATTAGTTTCAGATCACATTTGTCACATTTTACATTTACTCTCATAAACCACAGGTTCCTGAATGTTTCTGGTCTAAGCACCTATTTAAAATATTTACTCAGCATCTCTTCTCCCAAGATCACAGTCTCTGATAAACCATAAAGGACAGTGTCAAGGCTTATGGCAAGCGACATCAATACAGAAATATCTTAATCCAGTTATATTGCCCAGAGGTTGCTCCCCGTCCCTGCAAAAGCCTTACTCTGTTGACTCTAAGACAGAAGGAATATTCTTTTACTGTCAGAGTGTGGTAGGTAGTAAATGGAAGTCTAAAGAGTAAAGGACAGGATTAAAAGGGATACTCTTAGGCTTTCCCCATCCAGCAGAGAGTACAGGAAATGATGAGGCATTTTAAAATTTGTTTTGGGAACTGTGACTCTACTGAAAGGCAGGCTCTGCTCTGACCCTGAAAATGCCCTAAAATGCACCACACAGAAGGCAAGAATGAGAAGATGAATTCCTGCTGATGGGCATCTGAGTACAAAGGCCAGGGCACCCCCCAGTGACAGGTGCTCAGAAACAATCTGGGAAAGGGCAAGGATATGTTACCAGTCAGGACTGTCATACACATGATTTCCTGTTCTCTCAGGCATTCTACATGGAGGTGGGCTGACACACACCACCAAGAAAGCATCATGTATGCAGGCAGTCAAGAAAACCTAAAACAGAGACTGGAATGAAGGTGTTTTCTTAACTACTAAAAGAGATTAGCACTTTGACTCTCACTGATGTAATAACTACTATAATGGCAGCATTATCTAATGATATAAGGGAGATTAGTACTACAACCCT